TGGGTTGGGGGAGATGGGAGATGGGGTTGCATCATTTTCAAATCAGATGGTCAGACTTTGGATGGGGTCCGGCCAGAGTCTATAAAAAAAAAAAAGAAAAAAAAAAAGAAAAAGAAAGAAAGAAAGTCTACCTTTGAAGCTCAGGATGTGTGTTTTGTCACAGTTTGTAGGACGTCTTCGAGGATTACGTTCCTCCGTCGAACACAATGGCCCGTCATCATAAATGGATACAAACCTAGGCTACCAGAGTGGCCCGGGGTCACTTGCCCGGCCGGGCCAAAATAATTAAAAAAAATAAAACAATTTTGAATTTTATTTTTTATTTTAAATTTGGTGCAGAATTTCGATGTGACCCTGACGCAAAAGTTGTTCAGTTTATTTTTCTGCATAACATAGTTTTTTTTCAGAAGTTTTGGATTTTTTTTTTATTTTTTATTTTTTTTGCTGGGACCTTACCTGATCCTTGCACGGGCTGGCCACCCGGGACCCGGGCGGCCCGGCTGGTAGCCTAGATACAAACCCAATTCCAGACCAAATAAAGTCATGATTCCGGATTATTGTGTTCAGGGGAAGAAGGTAGGGCTTTCGGCATTTCCACGACATTGATTGGAAATTAAATTTAATTGTTAACTTTTTAAGACTTTACCCACCACCAAAATAGATAGATGTCACAGGCAAAAAGGTCTCCGCTCCGACACAGAAAGGCCAGTGGCCCTTCTTTCAGGGGTCGGCCTGCATTTGACACAGCAATACAGTCAGATGCATTCAGCAAAGGGCTCGTGTGCGTATCCCCTGAGCACTCGTGCTCATCGGTTCCACTACTCAAAGTTCAACATGTATCTGGACTTTCTTATGGCCCAGATCCATGAGAACAGAGTCAATATTTTGAACGTATCGGGACCATTAGCAGTTCACCAGATACATTTCAAATGTTCTGTAATGGAACGAGGTCCGTCACCTTGAGCGCCCTACTGGGCTTTTTTTTTTTTTTTTTTTTTTTTTTTTTTTTGGAAGACCAGCCCTCGCCCGGC